TGCTGTGCAAGGTTCGATGCTTCGAACTGTTGCGAAATCGTCAGTTCCTGGTAGGCATTCGGACCGTCAGCTATTGCAGGCGTAGCCACGGATGACGCATCACCACGCGCAGGAATCGTATCCAGAGTCATGTCCAGATCGTCAGCATCGCGTGGTTGATTGGTAACCATTCGGTCCAAGAACGTCACGAGTAGCCGAAGTCCTCGATCGTGCTGAAGAGCTTCTCGAAGATGATGGTCTTGACTTCTTTTCCAAGGTCTTGACTCCTTTGTCCTTGGCCCTGGACGTAGTCCGAGGTGCCTGAAAACCAGACGCTTCGACCCGTCGTTCTGCAGCCTTGCCCGTCCTCGAACCTGTGGATGTCGGACGCGAAGGCGTAGATGCTCTTGGTAGACTCTTTGCTTTCCCCTTGGGAACTGCCTTTGCAATGGCAAGCGCAGAAGATTGACCTTTGTCATCTTCCGTGGAGCTATCAACGGATTGCACCACTGTGTCATCAGCTGTTGACTCACCAACGGCTGGCGCTGCCACATCGGCACCGAAAGTCATTGTCGTATCTTGGCTTGATCCTGAGTTCATTGTGGTCGTAGTAGATCAAGTAGTCGTTGCTGTAGAAAGGCAGAGCCGCGTACGGCTGATAACCTGCGTGGGGGATTGATCTCGACTTGGTTGCTGCTCTCCCCACCAGAGCTGTAATGAATGTAGGTGTGGCTGGCTAGCACTCTCCACAGACTGGACCCTGTCTCTCCCTCTTACTTCCACACGTGCGATCCTATGCAGGCAGAACCGGCGGCCGTTCCTTTTGCACTCACTGCCGGCGGCGGTTCGTCTGTGCAACGGGATAGCTCTGATTGCTCAGGATAGAAGACACATATAGCACTTAGCTATGGGCATTGACTTGAGCCAAACGTTGCGTTGGCGGTCACATAGAAAGGTAAAGATGAGGGATGCGTAGCATGCCCCCTAGAGTCGAGGGACGCGTAGCGTGCCCCCTTCTCTTGCACTTTACACGGTCTTGCTCACAGCTCTTATAGTGACACCTTAGAACTTGACAAGGCATCGCAGTCCGTTCGCATCTTGGGTGACAGGGTTTAGGGAGGGTCTCAAGGTCATAAGGTTTAGGGTTTAGAGAGAGTCTAACTAAAGGTCTTAGGTTTGAGGGTTGAGAGAGAGCCTTAAGGTCTTAGGTGTTAGGGTTTAGGCAGGGTCTCCAGGTCATAGGTTTTAGGGTTTAGGGAGGGTCTTAAGGTCTTGGGTGCAAGGGTCTGAGAGACTTAGGGTCTATCTTGCTGTCTGCTATCGTATGCTGTTGCATATTATAGTATAGTCTCTGTTAAAGTACATGACGGCCTATCGCACGTTTATGTACGGACTGTACGCACGGATTATGTTGGGGTACTTATTTACATGCAGTATATCCAGGCTTTATGGCCCAGTATGGTATAGTGTATAGAGGGACCATTCGGGACTGCTACTCATGATTCAGACTTCGTGGCCTCTAGTGAGTATATAGGGACGCTACGGCAGGAAGATAGGTTCGGTTTACTCAGGTTTGGGGCTTCATCCTCAGACGCATCTCTGAAGCCTCGCGGGGCTCAGCAAATCTTGACACCATGTATACGTGCAGAAACACACAGACAGAAATAGAGAGAGAAAGAAAGAAAGAGAGAGAGAGAGAGAGAGCGAGAGAGAGAAAGAGAGAGAGAGAGAGGGAGAAAGAGCGATAGAAGCAAAGACTAAACAAAGTAACAAAGAGAGCGGGAGAGGGACAGAGTTGCGGCTCAACTCTTCTAGAGACTCTCTTCTACTAAACCCTTCCAACACCCCGCTACCTTTCGTCTGAAAACTGTCCATCACTTGGGAACTGGGATCTTTCAAAACTGAATGAACCTGCTCACTGCTGGACCGCCCTGAAACAACAAATCATGTACACTACTGCATTGCGCGTCACGTCGTCGCTCACCACAAGAAAGAGTGTATAGAGACCCTACGAAAAACACAGGATTTGGTAGCTCCAGGTAGCTACCGGAAATCAGAAGTCACCACGGCAGCAGCTGTGAAGGTTCGTAAAGCTCCAACTAAACAGCAACGGCAACACTGCCTGTCATGCTGCCCCAAAGGGTCCAAGTACCAATAGAGTAGGTTCTAAGTATATAGACATTTGGGCCCCCAAAGTCAAAGTTTGTACTAGGTAACCCTTCTCTCCTGTACCCTTGTTGAAGGCGATGTTTTGCAGGTGCTTGACCAGCGGCATGACAACTGCATCCTGGCTGACGGGCAGGATACAGGCTGGGTTTGTAACCGCCAGACACCTGAGCCTGCACCTGGACCCAGAAGCATAAACCTAAGGCTACGACGCCCAGACCTTGGACCGCAAACGCTGCGCGAAAAAAGCCTCAAACTGGAACCCTCAAAGCCTCAAACTCAAACCCTATAAACCCTATAAGCTCTGTATATAATAAGCCCTAAACTCCGGAAGTTAGATCCTTTGGGCCCCACCTGGTAGGCCGACAGGAGCTCGTGCTCTGCTGTGCCGGGAGTGTGCGGGGACGCAGCCAGAAGGCACTCCGCCATGTCCGACCAGTCCTCGAAACCGCTTTCTGGGTTTAGGGTTTAGGGTGTATACTGTAAGGTTTGGGTTTAGGGTTGTCTCGGCTTACTTCGAGGTTCATGGGTAGTTATAAGTAGGGTAACTATACTTATGACCCATATTAGGGGACTTAGAACCCCACTTATATCTACCCATGAACCTCCAAGTAGGGTATATACTGTAAGGTCTGCGTTTAGGGTTTAGGGTGGAATGCAAGGGTTTTGGGGTTAGGATATAGGATTCGGGATTTAGGGTTTGGGGATGGGGTTTGGTTTACGGATTTAAGGCTCAGAGTTGAGGAATAGAGTTCCGGCTTGCTTTTCGCATTACGGTGGCATGATGCAATACCCGCTCTTGTCTGCGAGGCAGGTAGCCAGGTAGCTTTAGGCAGAACGGCGTAGAGTTTGGAACGAAATCTGTGACTTTGATGGAGCTAGGTTCAGGTGGTTTCAGCTTTGCCAATACTGTTAGAATTAGAACTTTTGATATGCCGGGTCGAGGATAGGATTCTGCGAAACATCGTCTCAAACACAACTTCCTCGCATCCCGAAAAAAGATTGCCATGTAAGCTTCCTACTCCTCTGACTTCGGGTGCTTGAGCAGATTGGGTCCACCAGAATTCCTGGCTGGGGTCTGGAGCCTCTTCAGTCTAGTGACAATCTGGGCGAGGCTGCTAGACCTGCAATAGAGGGATTAAGATTTAGGGGGTTTAGAGTTTGCAGGATTTTACTCCTTGCACGAGCTCGGAAAGAAATCCCAAAGACTACCAGCTTCAACCGAAGCCGGGTCTTGCCGTTGCCACTCCAGCCGTCACGGAAACACCGAGGCGGGCCGATCTCTAACATTCTTCACTTCTGACGTCTGAAACTGGAAGTAGCACCTCGAAATAGTACGGCACCCTTATGACAAGGACCCTGAAAGGGACCCTAAGTTGGAGAACCACAGAAAGGGCCCTGAGATGCTGAGGACCCATCACGGCCGGTGTCCTGTGCCAGCTACTTGGAGGTTCAGGCGTCGTCATGTACAAGTGGGCTTTTACGTCCCCGAAAAGAGGTGAAATGTTACCCTACGCCTAAGTCGCACAAGGGTTTAGGTTAGATACGAAGGGGGGTTATAAGTCCCCGAGTATGGGTGAGACCTATCGTTACCCTGCGCTTCAGGGTTTGGGGTTAGATACCAGGGGTTACAAGTCCCCGAGTATGGGTGATAACTATAGTTACTACCCTACGTACAAGCCCCACTTGTAACTACCCATAGCCCAGGACCCTAAACCCCAAACCCCACCAGTTATAATTACCGATGAACCTCCAGTTAGCGCATGTCATGGGCTTCTGGGAGGGGCTTGATCCAATTTGCTGGTTTTTAAGAAATAGAGCACTCTTGGAGATATAGTAAGGGCCCTTATGATTATTGAGGAGGATTTATTTTTCAGGCTTCTGATTGCTGCAAGGTTTGGGCCCATGGGTTTTGTATGACCCTCTCTATCCATTCCCTCCGGTGGCACTTGGCACTTAACACCCTAGGACTTCGGGGCATGTGCCGCTAAACGAAGGCAGTGTCTACTACTGCCCTTGGCGAGGCCGGATACTCCAATTCCCATCCGAATCAGACAGGCGAAAGTGTCTCCCAGCCGCGAAAAGAAGCCGAAGCGTATGCCACAAGCCTTTGCGCATTCTGTTCTAAGTGCTGCGGGCCTACATGCCTAAGTGTCACCTGTCGTCATTTCCACAACTACCGACTAGAACCTTCGAGCGGTACTCTACAAAGAGTTTGAAGGTGAAAACATGTTACCATGTACTGCTCCAAGATTGTAGACTGATCTCCGAATCAGGGCCCTAGCTACTGGTAGTGGGCTCCCAAGCTCTCCCTGCTGCCTCTCCACCCAGGGGCCGCGAGGCCAGGCGAAGGAAGTTTGCGCTGAGGGCTGCGAGGAGGGGAGCCTCGCAAAGGATTTCTCGGTCCCCGTTTCAGGAGTCTACCGGCTTACAGTTGAAACAAAGGGTATATTAGCGTATCATAACCTACTAGGTCCCATGCTGTTTCGTCGGGGCATTACATCTGCTAAACTACATGACATACGTTAGAGTTAAAAGAAGTCTTTCTTGAATTCTGAACACAAGGCACAGCAAGCCCAGCGACCCAAGAGACTTAACGGTTTGACGACATCTTTACCTGCAGACGTTCGCCCCTGGGAGCTTTCAGCCGGAAAACGAAATGCATTTAGCCCTAGTTGTGCTGTGAATACCTAATATACGGGCCGAAATAGTTGCCCATACTGTTATACTGTTTTGGGGGTTCCTTGTTATAAGCATAGTATAACAGGCCCCAGAGCCCTATTCTAATTATTAAGGCCGCTACATAAAAGTCTCTATCCATAAACAAACGGCAAGTTCGCATGTCCGGCGCGGGCCTCCGCCACTCCAAGGGCAGCGAATCCCCGGGCAGCTATGGCGCAGTCCTCTCATGGCAGAACCCTGAACCCTAACCGTATAAACCCAAAGAGCACTGTCACCGTTCATACGCCTCGAAATTTACAGGCGAGCAAACCATACTGGAAGTCATATTGCACAGAGGTGGAATACTTATGAGTGCACGCATGGACCGAGCAAACCAGGGTTGAACATAACATAGTTTACATTCCATAGCACCTATATAACATAAAAATCCCCATTCGGTTATGCTTTAGTGACCCCCCAGCAGAACAAGAAGCAACACCTATTGTTCCAATCATGTAATCTTCCCATGTTAGCAGCAAGGGAGTTCCTGAGGATTTCTTTCCGGATTTCGAGTGGCCAGTTCCTCGCAAAGCATCCACCGTAGAATCTGTAGACTGTATTTAAAAAGCCCCATCTAAGTACAGACAAAAAACTCCATCCCCCAAGCTGTTCGGCTCTTCAGCCACTTCAGCCATCGAATCTTTTTGTATTCTCGCTCGCTTTGCAGATTTCGCTGTGAATTCGACACCAATTCCTTGCAGTAGCTCCCTGCGCTCCCGGCAGAGCTTGCCCTCACGCGCCTGGCAGGGAGGGAGGGATTTCCAATCTATCTGGAGCTACGAAAACCAACTTTTTGGTGGGGTCCTTATAAACTCCACATTAGGGTCTCTACTTAGCACCCACCAAAAAGTTAGGTTGTGGTGTTGTGGTAGTTTCCGGTAGATGTGGGCGGTTCAGCTTCGGTTTGCTTTGGCTACACAAACTCTCCAATCCTGAATCTCTCACGAATCCTGAAAGGTGTCCGAAAAGGTTTTATGTAAGGGCTTTGAGGGATGAATACAGCTTTACAAGAGAAGCAACTGCCGTTGTTGATTCATGCACCTAAACTTCGGTAAATCCCTTGCAGCGGCTTGTTATGTGGGAATCATGACAGGGGCTCTTGCGCGCCTCATGGGCGCGCGGCCTCAGCGTGGACAACCCTTACAAACAAAGGTACCTATGACAGGAACTCAGGCCACTCGACCCCCCGAAACACCCAAAAGTCATGTCGGATCAACTTTGGAAGCGCCGGAACCCCCCTGCCGTCTGGGTTCTGGGTCCCCTTGAAGCTTTGCACCCCCAAGTCCTAACCTTTGGACTCCTGTTCCCTAAACCACGAGACCTAGTTCGGGTGTGGCTTTTATCGACAAGGAACAGGACAAGGGACAGTAGGGATCCAGCTACACAGACTTGATAAGAATTCGGGCTGTTTCGGATTTGGGTTTGGGGGGCTGGGTGCAGGGGGTTTTGGGCTTTGGGGTTGCGCTATCTAGGGTTGTTCATAGATTCAACCCATAGCGCCGCTACAGAATCATTCGGAGCCCCCGGTCTCTGATATTCTTCGTGACTTAGTTTGTATCTTATAGAAGTCGTAGCTGAACAGCTATCAAGTCAGGCAGTCTTAAAGTTTGCAGTTTCTAGGTAACAGAGTGTCAACATCTAGATTTGGCATTTGGGTTGGGAGTTTAGGGGTAGGGGTTTGAGTCTGGGATTCAGGATTTGGGCTTTCCGGTTTAAGGGCTTCAGGGTTTGAGTGCGGAGTTTCGGGCTTGGGGCTGGTCCCTTTTGGGGGTGATTTGGGGTCAACACGAGTGGTAACCTTCAAGCTCCAGTATTAGAAATATTCATGATGACCGAACTGATCCAAGCTTGTCCCTGTGAAGACCGAAGAGAAAAGCCAGAGCGAACCCCGATGCCAACACCGGAAGCATCCGCCCAAACTGCGCCAACTGCCAACCCTAAACCACTAAACCCCGGACCCTTAAACCCCTAAGCCTTAAACACGACAAGTGAACCACTAAACCCCAAACTCCTAAGCCCCTAAGCCCTAAACCCTATAACTAAACCACAAGCCCCTATAGAGCCTTCAGCCTGAAACCCTACTTGGAGGTTCATGGGTAGTTATACGTGGGGTTATAAGCCCCCGAATATGGGCTATAAGTATAGTTACCCTACTTCTAACTTGTAACCTCAATTATAACTACCCATGAACCTCCAAGTAGGGTTTGGGGTTTAGGGTTTGGGGCCCTATACTTATAACTACCCATGAACCCTCGCAGCACCCGCAGCTGGAAGGCCTTTTTCTGCTGGACAAAGACCCAAAGGCCCAAGCTCCGGGCGCCTGGCCTTGGGTTTAGGGTTTAGGGTTTAGGGTTTAGGGTTTTGGGTTTAGGGTTTTGGGTTTAGGGTTTAGGGTTTTGGTTTGCTGCTACCCCAGAAACCCCAGTATCAGCCAACAGCCCCCTTAATTCGGGAATACCTAGGGTTAGGGTTCCTTTAAGGAATCAAAAAGGGATCTTAAAAGTTTGGGTCTAGGGGCCTCCAATATCCCTTAATTAAGGAATATACCCCTAAGGGTTCCTCAAAGGGGTCTAGAAGGGAATGAAGGAATATACCCTTAATCGTATTAGGGATCCTACTATAACTTCAGGTGTATTCCTTAACTAAGGGATGTTGGACTTCTAGGGTGTTTCTCTTAGTCCCGTGCTTTTCAGGCACGTTCTTCTGTCTACGCAAGCTGAAGGTTCAGCTGTAAAACCTACCTGTTACGGGAACCTGATTATGATTTCCTTATGCAAGTCCTTCAACAGGCCGGTTATTTGGGGTTAAGGTCGGGTTGAGGGTCGAGGAGCTAGGCTCGGGCTTGTGTACCAAATGGGAGTTTCCGAAAATTAGGGGTCCATTATTTTGCGGGTCCTTGGGATGCCCAGTTACCTAGGAATAAAAAGGGATCCCTTCTTGGTATTCGGTAACTTTGTAAGGAACCTACTAGGACTACAAAAAGGGAATAAGGGTACTACTGGGCATCCTAAACCCTAAAACCTTAAACCCTAAAACGGGTTCAAGGTAGGGGTTTAGGAGGAGGACCAGGAGACCCGGCAGCAGGACAAGTTGGTATCGATTCCCTAAGGGTCCATGGTCCATGTACCCATATAGAGATATAGGAGCCCCAAAGTACCTATATAGGGACTACATTAAGGCCAATGTACAAACTATATGAGTACATGGACCCTTAGGGATTGGTGTTCGCGCCAGGCTGCTCCTCGTCGGTGCGGCTGGGCGTATGGCCACATGCGTCGGCGAAGCCTTGGGTCGGAGTCGTGAGTATGAGTATGAGTATTAGTATGTATTTGTAATAGTATCAGGACAAGTATCAGTATAAGCATGTATTAGTATTAAGTATTATTAAGTATTAGTAGTAGTATTATAGTACATATATATATATATATACATATATATATATATATATATATATCAGCATTCGTAAGTTCATGCAGCCCTGAGGCTCCCGAAACGTAAGGGCTCCAAGTGCTCCGCCCTGAACAGTCCGACCATGCCTAGAAATGTTACTTAGGGGCCTGGGTGTCAGATGTCGGGTCGAGGATTTGAGCCTTTCCACCTTCAGATGTAGTGCATTGTAGGAACCTGATTAAGAAACCCTGGGCCTATAGCCCCAAAATAGTAGCATTCATATATGGAACCCGGATAAAGGCCCAAGGCTGATTCCTACATTAGCACCGTAAACCCTAAGCCCTAAACCGTATCGGGTGGAGGAATCGGGTCATGGTGACCACTCGATCCGATTCATTCCACTAACCGTGATCCTCCAAGTACCCTAAAATTTCCCTGGAATTAGAAGGAACCCTGTCAGGAACCCTTTAGGAACCTTCATTCCGCAAGCCCTACCTAAACCCTCAACCCCAAAAGCCCTACTCGAGGTCCAGGTTTTTTGGGTGGTGTGGATGCGTGACGGCTTTCAGGAACCGTTGCTCTTTGCTGCCACCCCCAATGTTCCTGTCGTTTCTCTTGACATTGGCGATGCGTTTTAGGATTTAGGCTTTAGGGTGATGGTGTCTGTTTGGCAGTGTTCAATGTTGGTGCGTCTTGGCTTGAGTCAGCTTGCCGTGTGTTTCGGGTCCCATACCTTATGCCTTACCGACTAAGGTGAAGATTTAGACAATCCGTATCATCCCTTGAAGCCAAACATTCCCAAGCTAAACGTGAAACCTTCTGAAAGCTGACATCTCTGAAGCTCTGAGCGCAACCTCGAATATCCTATAGCCCACAATTCACGACTCAAAACCCCAAGGGCTAAAAGAATAGTCCCAAGGTAGTCTATAACCTTAAGCCCACCCTGCACTTTAAGCCAAACCCCATAAGGATCAAACACCCCCAAAATCGACACCAAGGCACTTCTAACAGACCGGAAGGAGCGCATCCACCGGGCCTGGCTTTATGTAATTTCTCTGACTGCACTGCAGTCACTGCAGTCAGTCTGTGTGCTCTTAGGCTCTCGGTTTCTTGCCTTTTCTTTCTTGGCTAGTATGAGGGCCTTTATATATTACAATGATCTAATTAGGGTTTGGGGGTATATTAAACCATAATTCTGCTAAGGAGCCCCCCAAATAGTGTAGGTAATTATTACCCACAGGCCCCAGAATACTTTCTTTTGGGGTTCATATTTAGAATCCTGTAAAGTATTCTTAAAACGGAGCTACTTTGGGGCCTATGAGTAAGGCCCCTTTTTGTGAGGGCAGCTCGCGGCCTCCTCAGCATCCATCTCCACGCCTAGCCGTCGAAGAAGCCGCACTTGCTTGGCTTCCAGGCCTGTGAAGGACCAGGTGGGGTTGTGTAATAACACCCTATAAGAATCCTTATCCCTGAGTGTTGCTATCGTTTTATTTTCTTCTTATGAACCTGAACCTGGTGGAGGTTCGTGAGAGGGATTAATATAGGGGCCTTAATAATTAGAAGAGAGTTTTGGGGCCCATTATACGATAATTACAATAAGGAGCCCCCACAATAGTATTGGTAATTATTTCGGCCCCTATATTATGGACTCTTGGGCTTCAGGGTTACTACTACCGTACGGACAGCTGCAGTGCAAAACTTACCAACTTAGCTCAACGGCCTTCTGATCCGTGCTTGCGCTGCCTTTGCTATGGATTACTAAGGTTCGACGGTCTTCGAGTTGTCGAGCTTC